AGTGATTTTATATAAATTAGATGGAAAAGATTTTCAAAGAAACTCGATTTGAAAAAATTGAGATTTATAGGTCTACTCGGTTTTACGAGTAGCTTTATTCGGTATCACTACAGTATAGTCGAGGAGTTAAAGAGATGATTCAGCCGTCTATTAACTTTCGGAACACACTGTGTTTCTGTCCATATGCTGCCGTTTTCTAGTTCAGCCAGATCGGCGCTTTTCGGGCGTCTGTTTCAGCGGCGTGGCGTGCATTGCGATATATCGATTGATCTTCCATTTAAATCTATGGAAAAGGATCGATAAACAGGCTATCAAACAATAATCGATCTCTTACCTCAGCTTAAAATGGGAAATTATCAATGATCGAACATTTACGCCTCGCCACTGGCCTGTTTGCTTCAAGAATTGGGTGCTTTTCCACCGGACCTAACCAACAGGCTTGCAAAATTTTCGAGGAAATTCAATCGAGGAAAACTTTCACACGGATTTACTTGTAAATTTAGAACTTTTTCATGAAGTTTCCCAACTCTCCGAACCGATTAAATTTAATGAATTGGTTTCACGGCTCAGCTATCTGCGTCATTGATGACGCGGCAATGGTCTGAGCCTCGATCCGTGCTATCCATGAGCTCATCGATTTCCGCACGGAAACGCAAAATTTGATGGTTTTACATCGGAATGGAGTGTACCATCGCTAGATCGGCTCATTTTCAATAACGCTGTATTTAACATGCTTGTAGAAACGCTGATTTTTTGACGCAAACACTTTTCATCATATCATCAGCTTGATCACAAGCGTTAATGTGCTAACTATACGTTTACGTACAAAGATTGTAGGTTTTGCACATTAATAATGATGAGACCTGTTAACCCATGTATGTAAACGAAACGGGCTTACAGGGCACGTCGTTATCTACCGGCCAAAGTATCACAAGCGCCATCGTTTAAAAATGTCTGCCGCCATTTTATTTTCTTACAGAGAAATTGTTCAACGAGGCCGTCCGAAAATTTCACTGAATTTCCTTCGTGCTGCCGATACATTTTTCAAGAAATTTCCGAGCAGATCCAACCAAAAATTTTTCTGTGAAAAAAGAAAATTGCGGTGGAAATTTTGAAGCGTCGTCGCATGGCGCTTGTGATACTTTGGCCGAAAGGTGACGACATCGTCTTCAGAAAACCTCGTAGATAGGGGAAGCTTGGGTTGCAGGATAGAATCTTGAGGAGTTAAAGTGAAGGACTAGCTCAAAGACGAGAAACTTGCGGAAATATTTTATCACAGGTGTCGGATGTTCAACAGATGTTACCATTAATTTGAAGTTGAGCAATGAGTTCCTCGCAGCCCATCATTGGCGGTGTAATTGTTTCCTAATTCTATAAATCTCTTTTTTCTCCTGTCGCTGGATGCTCCCGGGAACTGCAGCGGAAAAGTTAGCGCTAACATGCTCCACTGAGACGATCGCTACTCAAGAGAAAGTGGAAACTTCTCTTGAGGCTTGCCTCTTTTAATTCGATCTTTTCCGGGTTAATTCTTCGCCTGAGTGAATTCTTAGATCTGATAAATTTCCTTCAACTTTGTGCTCTAGGTTTCATGTTTCTTCGATTTTTAGACATTTAAATACTGTAAAAACGTCCCAAAAGGTGTGCATACTTGGCATTTTGTGGTATGACAATCTTGAAACGACAACTCAGAACTTTTTTTCTGAAATTTTTCAAAATTTTGTACAAGATTTACTCTAGTATTTCAACACTTATTAAAATGTGTGAACCTTTTTTTCTTCTTTTTATTGAAATTCTCTGTCAGAATTAGAAATCTTTTTAAAGAGTTTTTTACGTTATCATTGCCTAAAAAAACTAAAAGGAGTTACTTAAAATAGAATTTTTTAAATTTTTTACGAGTTTTTGAAAAGTTCCTTTTAAAGGTCACTACCATTAAGGTCATTACTCTCTTCGGCAGCAAAGCGGCGAGGTAATTTTTTATTTTGATGGATAAAGCAAAAGACGAAAAGGCCAATGGGAAAATGGAGCCATCCTATTGACACTTATAGACGAAGGGGAAAATTATGGGCTAACTGTAGGGTTTTCCATTAGTTGCCGTTAGTCAATCTATTGCTAAACTCCTTCGTCCATTTCAGCCACCCTCTTCCACCAATAGGATCGCCCCATTTCTTCGTTGTCTTCTTCATCTATCGTTTTTATTCATCCACTTGCAGAGCGAGAACAAGTACCTACGGATATCGACGGTGAAATTACCAGACCACTTATCTCGGTTTACGACGTTGCAGATTTCTCGTCATACTTTACTTTTTAAGTGGAAAACTACTCAACGTAAATTCTTTAAAACTTGTGTGGTTTTTCTTTTTCATGCGAAGAAAACTCCGTAAAAACTTCAAGGAGTAATATGGATTCATTTTTCTTAAAAAAACTGAAACGGAGCGAAGATTTTTAAAAACCGCAAACAATATACGTAGTCTGTTAATATGCTGCCCGCAGTGGATAGAGTCAATAGGAGAGGTCACATATGATTTAATATTTAATTTAATAAAAGCACACATTTTCAACAATATAAAATAATGATCTTTTTAAAGTACATAGTTTCATTGGTTTTCTCATAAAATTTTCTTTAAGAAGCACCCCTTAAAATTAAATTCGTATCAAGATAAACGTAAAATTTACCGTTTTTGTCAACAATTTCTTGTCTGACTTCCTCCTTCCACTGTGTGCCATTCGATGCTAACGACTCATCGGCAACTTTTCAATTTGGATAAATGTATTTCGCGTGGATGGCAATGCCACGAACAACGACAACCGTGCGCGGTTGATCTGTCGAAAGTGTCGAAAGCTCACCGCGGCGCTGCATAATTGAGGGCGCATCAAGCGACTCCGCTGAGGCGCTGATGGAGCTCCTTTCTTATTTATGCCCCGGCGCTGAGTGGCCGATGAGATACCGTTGAGCGCTGATCAATTATTCCGGCGCCACTCAGCACCGACCGGGCCGAATTCTCACGGCAGTTGCAAGCTTTTTCCGCAGGGCTCAGCAGAAACAGAATGTATTGATTTCATCGGAAACTTGCATTCTGTGCTGCTGCTACTGCTTGGACTATCTGAATCTAGGGAAATCTCGATTACCCAAAAACGTTTAACCCCTAGGTGTCCAAGCCGAGTCAAATTGACCCATGGCTCGCTAATGCACTGAAAAAAAGCATGGTAACATCTACTTTAAGTCTACTTGATTTTTTACACAGCGATACTATTTCGTAATAATAACCAGAATTATAGTAGCATTTTCCAGAGGTCTGGTGATACTTACCATAATATGGTATATGCTACCATAGTCTTGTTTTTTTACCATATTCGTATCACTTTGTCTGAGTATGGTAAAATCTACCATATATTTTTTTCATTGAGCCATTGTTTTCACTAGACATTTTATGGGATATGCCCCAGGGAAAAATCTTACTTGCGAAGTTACGAAAATATTGAGTTAGTCAGTACTGATCAAAATGCCAAGTAGAGTCTTTGCCGAGTTCTAAGAGCGACTCAGAGAAAAGTAGAAGAAATTTTTTTTTTTTTTCTTTTTCTAAAACACTGGTGTTTTACCTAAAACACTGGTTTTTATTGACATATACTTTTAGGAGTATTGTCTTTCTTTTTCCAGTGAGTTCCAACTATTTATATAATAGGTCACTTGTCTTCTTTCGTCTTTAAATCGCTTAAGTTCATCATTGTCTTTAATGTTTTTAGAGACTTATGCAATAGGTCTAAAAAAACTAGTTTTAAGGTTTATCAATACAGAGGGGCACATAAGCTCGTCTTATTATATAACTTGTAATTTGAATAATAAACTCTTATATATATATATCTATTTTGTTTTTTGTTGCGGCGCGGTCTGTATGGGGCCAGCACATAAGAGCTTTAGATATAAATCCACTTATATATCATAAAAAAGGAATTATACATGAAATTGAAAAAAAAAATCGAGTGACGGGGAATTTTTTTTGACATATCACCTCAAGAAACCCCGAGATGCGCAGGTCTGACCCGGGTCTTAACTCGACTATATCCTCTGTAAAACTTATGGGCCCGGTTTATACGAGCTTTGAATATAGGAGAAACGCATTTGGGCCTCATTTTTTTTAACTTTCTTCCCGAATCTGAGCGACACATCATTCTCATTGACAGCATAGAGCGAAGCACTGCGACTGCGAGTTCGCGCCATGGCGCCTTCAGTTTTGCAGCTGCAACCCGGACACCTATCAAACACGAACAGTTGTATCTCTGCGCCGTCATCAATCCGCGTTGCGGTGTCTATTATTTTCGAAATTTGAAAAAAGTTAGGATCATGTTTGCTCAAAATATGCAATGATGAGTCCAAATCAATAATACTTGGGGGTGGGGTCTCAAGCGTCTGAAAGGGGCAGGGCTAAAAATTGGTATTTTGGCGAGAGTTTTGTCTTGTCAGGGAATTTTTTTTTACGAGCACTCCTAGAAATCCCAAGCTGAGTCATATCGACCGGACTGTCTCTTTTGAGAGATTTACATAAATATAACGGATGAAGAAGAGAAGGGGGTGAGAAGTGCTAGTGGGTTACCAAAAAGGTAAAAAATATATAAAAAAGTGTTTTTTACTTTAAAAAAAAAATAGGTATAACCCAGATAATAGTTCAAAAAGTATCAAAATCTATGTAGTAAAATAAGGTAAATTTGACCCGACTTGGGACTTTGCGTATTAAAAGAAGGTGTGCATCTAAGGGTTAATGAGACACCAAACCCACTAAATGAGCGTTATGTAAGTTTCTGAATCAGCTCCCCCCCTCATCAAAGAAAAGGACCAAAAGAGAAATTCAGAGCACCAAGGAGATTTTTTAAATGCAGAGTTCCATTTACCTTGACATATTCTTATCATATTGGAAGGAAATACCGTTTTTTGTAACAATGTACATTGTCTGTTTGCTGTAATAATAATTTCGATGATCAGTTCTGGAAATTCGGGTTTGTTACAGGTCAAAGCGACACCATGATCGGGGACTGCAAGTCCTCAAGCGACTTGGGGATCATGCCATGCGCCATCTCCTGGCTCTACCGAAGCATCGCTGAGCAGAAACAAAAATCAGGTGCTAGATTTTCCGTCCGCGTTTCGGCCATTGCCATCGGTTCCGCCATCAAAGACCTTCTGGCAGGTCAAGCCAACGGTAAGTCGTGAATATTTCATATTTGTACCGTTTCATGCGCTCCTTGGCGCTCCACGACCACTAACCCCAACTGTTCTCTGTACATCCTCTAACCCTCCAGAATTTCACACTTGAACATTTTGGCTTAAATACCATCCCCCAGTGTTTTAATGGGCGCTGTCCACGCCTTCATTGAGAGAGAGCCCAACTTAGAACCTTTTGAACCTTTAGATGAAGAAAAAAATCCGGGAAGTTTAAGAGGCAATCGAAGAGTCATTATTACCTTTAAATTTTCCGAGTCATAAATTTTTCTGTCAAGTCGGGTCCACGAAATTCTTTGGCCTGGTAAAAACTGACGGTGTTATATACATAACCAATGACGTCATCTTTTACCGTTTTATGAAGTATTTTTCTTCTGCCAATATAACTCTTGCTATTCCTCTGTTCACCCCGGCGCTATTCCCGGATATAGGACACCCTCTTTCCGTGACATAAGTATAAGTTCCATTTATGCATCCCTTTCCCCCATAACGCAAACGTGTAAAATTACTTTAAATCCACCCCTTTCTCTCGGATGACAATTTCTCTGGTTTCCCGAGCTACTCTCAAAAATCGTCGTTTCCTAGACGAAGGAACGTAACTTCATTCTGAGGTTGCAAAATCTACACAAACACCCCAATTTTTTAACTATACTGCGTCATTTTCGTCTGAAATCGTGCAGGTATTTACGCGTATTCAGAAGAAAACTCGGTGAAATCTTCAGTTAAAAATGCCCAGCAGTATCCTAGTAAAAATAAAACTTACGAGTGAAACTTTCGCAACGTTAAAATGTAGTTGAGTTCTTTGTTCCGAGGAAGGACTAAATATGACAACAACCAGCCGCACAGAGTAATTAGAGATTCACAAAGACTGCGCAAAGAGTGAGCGAGCCATCCATCATGGGAGGTGCGAGAGCCGTGTGTGCTCGCAACCTGCATTCCCTGCACTGCTAATTGCCTACCCGGCAGGCGCATCAGCTCCGCGGCAGCTCCCTTATCTGCTACATTATTTCTGTGCTATTAAGACAAATGTCAGCCGGGGAAAATATTAATGGGCGAGTGTGCTCCGGCTCTTGATGCTCTTTGCAAACTCTTAAACAAATGCGGCTTGAGTGCTCTCTCACACGCTCTGAGCTTTGCTGTGTGTCGTTAGACGCTCCGTGCGTGTGGCGAGGCGACCCTCCAGGCGGGCACTGCGCGACCAAACGGGGACGTTTTATGAATCTTTTCACAAAGGCTCGCTTGCGAATGGTGACCTAATGACATGATTTTCGTAGAACACCTACGTAGGTACACTGGAAAAAAAACACATTGGATATAGAGTCCAGACTCTTAAAAACATCGACAAGAAAAAGTACTCTTGATTCAATCAGAATCTAACTTAAATCAAGAACCAAGCCTCCTAATCTAAGCGGATTTCGTTTTGATTCAAGCTTAAATCTGATATAATGAAGAGTCCTTTTTCTTGTCAATGTTTTCAAGAGTCTGAACTCTCGATCCAATGTGTTTTTTTCCCAGTGAGGTAGAGTGCGACTTTAGAATGGGTCTGTTACACATTGGAGATGCAGTCAAGTGAGTTTACGTGTCACACGTTAAGTTGTAAGAAAATCACGCCGAGAACAGCAGCAGTTTTTAAAATACTTCTAAAATATTGCTGTGCGAATGGAAATCTCCGCATATGAACTAATAAAAAAATGTGTGTTACTTTTGGTTAATGTAGGGAGTAAAAGACAAACCAACCCAAATTTTGTGTTGGTTTTGTTAAATTTTGCGGTGAATTTAGCGCAGAAAACAATGGAGAGACTGAGAAACCCCGTAGTCAACAGAAAGCTTGGGCTATTTTGTGTTTTACTACCCGTATTAACCAAGCTTTTGTGTTGAGTTTTCTCTGTGTGGGTATTTGGACGTTGCTCTAGTTCCCGCGAACTGTCGATTTCACATATTTCGATATTCGCACAAGGACTCCTAAGATTAAATTTGGCCCCAGGTTGCGGATAATGTGGATTTTTTCTCGATAGGTTGGCGACGCTGGTGGCTCTTAGTGTGTGCGCCCACTCTATCCCGCGAAGACTAAGTAATTCGTTTAAGTTGTGGTCGAGCACTATCGCGCCAAGTCGACCAGAAAGAACGCCAAGCTTTTATTGGATTTTACGTCTCCTGATGAGCTAATTTCATCACGCTCTCCGCCGTGTCGACCATCTTATTTGTTTGCTTTCATCTTCTCGCGCACCACCGAAACTGTATCTCTGGTGGAGGTCCTGTGTTTTGGACACGGAAGGGCTAATTTCGTAGTGAAGAGTCCAGATCTGAAAAAGATGTGTTCAACAGGATTAGATCTTTTTCTAAACTTTTGAACCTTTTCCTTTTCCTCTTTCAAAAAAACTGCCTCTACTCGCCCACCTCCCACTCCCCCGCCCCTCCCCTCCAAAAAAGTCTCAATTCTTACACCCTCACTCATGGTATTTAAAGAGTATTTGGTTTTGAATAATGTACGCATTTAGATACCGGTGACACAAAAAATGAAAAAATGTTTTTTTACCATAATTTCAAAATTCCGATTTTGCCCTCCGTTTATAGAAAATTGCTGGAATGAAATCTGTTTAGTAATCAAATACCTCGTCATTCTCAATCATTATCACCTCTATGAAATCAATCCAATAATTTTAGACCATCGAAAGAATCAGAGCATTTTTAATTTTCCAACTCGTCTCTGCTTTTCCTAAATCACAAGAAATCAACTTCCTCCGAGATCGTCTAGTTTTCTTCAGACGGAGGTCGATCAAAAATAAACACGAACTAAACCTACCTAAACTCTTTTAAATCCCATAAATGATATAAACTATCTTTAAAATTATCACAGAATGCTCTTATCGAGATTTTACAACGGCCGTGTCCTTTCAGTCTGCCTGAAAAACTGTCGGGTCCCTCAGTCATAATGTTTACTTGGAGGTTTCCTCGTGCACAAGTTTCTCACTTATTTTCTTGGATGTCCGAGCAGCGTCGAAACAAAAGCCGGCTAATGAAAAATGTAATTTTGTACGAGTCCACGGTCCACGGTCTCCGCGTCGCACAGTGGATCGAGTCAATCAGAGATGTCGGACATTAAATATCTGACTAAAAATGCAAATTTTAATGTTCATTTCGTCATATTTTAAATTTCAAGGGGTGTTTCTAAAAGAAAATTTCATGAGAGAGCCAGTGGAAACACTTTTAAAACCCCAAAGTTCTGTATAAACAGAGTTATTAGCTTGTAAAGTTGTCAAATTTTGTCCGAACTCTCTCAATGACTCGATCCACTGTGCGGCGTCGCGGCGAAAGGCGCGAGGGTCAGGATGCGGCGGGAAAAAATAAGGGTCAGTAAGAAAAGTTTCATACGCCTGCTGTAGATGATATCACGGCGGGCCTAATTCGAAACTCATATATCTCTTTTATCCCTTTCTGTATAGTACCCCCGGCGAAGAATCCCCGAATACCCCCAACGATGCCAAACGAAACAAAAAGAAAAATGGTTATGAAGGTTTCAGAGTAAATGTATCATAACCTCGAATGTATCGTCTTTACATCAAAAGTGTTGTCTTGAATGATAAATTGACCGTTTTTATGACATCCCCCTCTTTGCTTCACTAAGTTACATAGAAGTTGAACTTGTGGGTCTAAACTGGACGGAGAGGGGCCTACTTTTTCTAAGGCCGCCGGCAGAACTTTACATCCATTTTTGAAAATGATTGCATCCAAAAAATGATGCTTTCACGGAATATTTACTTTACTGAAGTACTGAAAACGTACTGAATTTTTCTGTTGAGGAGGCACTAAATTTCTTGGGAATGTACTGAAAAAGTACTGAAGAAGTACTGATTTTTGGTCCGTCTGTTTTCGTAGACACCCTGGTATCCCTAAATGCTGTTCATTGTCGGCAACATGGTGGCACCGCAAATGAGCGGAAAAGGAGGGCAGCTGTTATTAGATATTAAGAAAAATACGTAATAATTATTATTTTTCGGGATTTCAGACGGGGAGCAGTGTCACTTGCGGGACTCGTTGCTGAGCGGCCAGGCGTTGAGCCAGTCGGAGCTGCGAGCGCCCACCCCCGAAAAGGCCGCCCATTACCTGGATTGCGCCCTCGCCGCCCGCCAGGACGCCCATCTCCTCTTCACGCTCCACGTGTACCAGTACAGCGTTGCGTCTAAAGGCGGAGGTGAGTTCACACTCCCGCACTAGAGTTTTTTTTTTTTTTTTTTTTTTTTTTTTTTTTTTTTTTAATAGTTATCAATCACTTCAATATTCATCATATCAACTGAATTTTTGGATACTCGAAACTTTGGTCATCGATTAATAGTTGAATTTAATCAAAATTCATTGATCGATGATTGTACTCGTATCTAATCGATTAATGTTCATATTTTAAACAGTAAATTATCCACGGCAACCTCTCCTGTGGGATGCCCGCCAGAGTTCCTGGGTGTAAATAAGCATTTATGTTGAATTTGAGGATGAAAAATCGTGTAAACTGCACATTTTCGATGAAATAATAACAAACTTAACTAAATTGGCGATTTTTACAGCTATTGGAGGAATGAAGGTACGCGTTTTGCGACTTCTGTCATAATTTAAAAGTAAGATGGTTATTTTACTTAAAAAATTAGAAAGTCTCTCTAAGCTTATTTAACTATAATACATCTATCATAATTAGCCACCACCAAAAAGTTTTTATTCTCGAAGGTTTTCATCACGATTCAACAGAAAGAACTCATGGAGAGATATTGAAAACAAGTTAAAAATGTATCAATTAATTTTGTTTATTCTAATAGTAGCTGGTGGTCGAAGTCGTTTACATCTTCTTGATCTCGGATGCCTGAACCGTTCTAAAGAGACCAGTTGCCTTTCTCTATCAGGAATCGGGAATGTTCTAATAGCCATATTCAACGGCCAAAAGCATCTACCTCATAGGTAAGAGATTTATATGCTAATTGCAGATCATTTACTGACCTTCTTTGCATGCGCTATCACTAGCAAGGGTTTTAGGGGTGGATCACTCTCAAAAAGTAGTTTAATATTAATTATTCATAATTGATTAAATGAACAAATCTTAAACAGATAAGGATGAATATTAAAGTAACTCACTAAGTTCGGCTGCTGCGAAATTTCCTTTGACAAAACATATATTTTCCGGAATATTTTCGAAGATTTTGACATCTATACTACCATTGTGCACTAAATTCGTGCTCTGTTATTTCTCTACCATTGTATAGACGCATAACCCGTGTGGAATGCCTCTTTTCAACACGNGGGGGGGGGGGGGGGGGGGAGGAAACCAGCGGGCTGATTATTGAAATCGATAGACAAAGCGATCGGTAAAGAATACAAATGGAATACGGAACGATCCTATCGGTAGAAGCGAGTGGTTACAATTGGCAAAATATAGGTAAGCCATGGACTAACTACGGACAACCAAGAGAGGCCCCATAGTTAGTCTATCGTCTTTCCCCGTTGTTCACAACAACCCGTTTCAACCAATAGAAAATTTATATTTTCCTTTAGTCTTCTTCATCCATCTTTTTTTCTATCAATTTCACAGTCAGCCTGCAGAGACGTGTGAATGCGGCCTTTCACTATCTCTGTAAGCGCGAAGAAAATTAGAGCGCCTTCAAATTCACTTGTATGCAACACCGACATCCATAGAGTAGGAATAGTTGTATCGCCTGTATCGGCAGGAGTTATTTTTGATGTGGCAACGCGCATACTTGCGTTGTCGTTTAGACGTTTCGCGACGTAGTATTCTTTCAATTTATACCGTCTTTCCACGCGAAAAGAAATTGAGATGCTTTTTTTGACACTCACTTTGAAATTTAATTTCATTTAATCACTGCTGGATAAAAATTGAGTGTAGGATCGAACTCATTGCCAATTAATGACATTGTTCTGAATTAACTGTACCATTTCGCAGAGAACACAAACTGACGCAGGTTTTGCGAGAGTGTTTGAGCTCGCTGACATGTCAGGCGGCTATGATAGCCCATGTCTCACCGCTGCCGCAACATTATCCGGAAACATTGTCCACCATTCAATTGGCTTCGAGAATTCATCGTATGAGAAGAAGAAGACCTAAGGTGCATTTTTACTTAGAACAGTATACCTTTCAGCCGCATTTGCCAAGAAACTTAGACCTCAAAGCACCAATGGGGAGCTCATAACCTATTATATTAGTACCCAATTTGATCCCCCAATGGACCACTAGACAAGGTACGAATTTAAGCATTCTGTTACATGTTTCTTGACCAGAATTTCACGTAAAACACGTTTCGCGCAACGAAACTTACCGAAATCAACTCCTAACAAAGATATTAACATTTTTATATCACATTGGTTACGAGGAATTTGAACTGCCCGCTCACAAGAAACTCAAAGCTCTACACGTGAGTCAAATCGCGCACTACAACGGTTTCAGCAAGCTTCTCGATCGAGCAATGTTCATTTCCCACCATGTGTTGTTCAAACTATAAGCAACTTGCTATAGCTGAGCCAAAGCGTCAAGATTGAGGTTGCCAGATTTTTTTTCGCAGAGGCTGTCATGATAACGTTTAGCGCGCGATGTGAGTCACGTAGAGCATTGAGTTTTCATGAGCGGGTGGTTTGAATTTACGCATCAAGAATCATTAAATATCTTCGTAAGGAGTTGATTTCGATAATTTCCGTTGTGCGCATCGTATTCTACGTGAAATTTTGGTTATGAAACGTGTATCAAAATGCTGAAATTCGTGCCTTGTCTATTAGTCCATTCTCAAAATGTGAAATGTGTAGCTAGTTGCTCCTTATGCAGTTGATATTAAAAATTCACCTCTAAGAAAAGAAAGTTGGGGCTTATGCTTTGAAACTCACGATGTTTATCTGCCTTTTAATTTTGCCATTTAGTTTTTTCTTCCATCAAATAGTATTTTGAGAGTCGTCTCCGTTTTTTGCATTTTTTTCATTCTGTTCTTTACAGAGGCAGAGGAAAAAGATAAGTACTATAAAACGTATTGAGAGTTCATTTTATCTCCATCTCGATTCGATAATTTATCCAACACTCTCCATTGAAGGAAAAGTGCACGCACTGCTGTTCTAATGTGTTTGTCGTTTAATTTGTTCCTCAGTACGTGAACAACTTCTCAATGGCAGCAATGGACGAAGCAAGCCGTCTCTCAGGGAGCAGCGACGTGGACCCCTCCTCAAGCGAGCAGTCGGCCGACACCGTCATCTACCTCGGGCACGCCGTCGACGAAACAGACGGGGAACATCCTCCAGTCTACATCCCGAGCCTAGCCTCGGGTGATAACCGCCCTTGCCTTAGTCCACCCGACGCGCTCAAACCCAACCTCAACGGAGAAAGACATAGTCCCAAACCCCCGCACCTGAGCGACAGGCAAAGTCCCAAACCCCCGTACCTCAGCGACAGGCAAAGTCCTAAACCTCCGCATCTCACTGACAGACATAGCCCCAAACCTAGCGATAGACATAGTCCCTCTGGCGAACGGTACAGCCTGAAAGATCGTTCGGCTGTTTCGAGGTCGGTTCCCAACTCACCCCAGCGAGTGCCGTGCCAGAGGATTCCCACGTGGCTGAGGAGTCCCCTGGCGGTGCGCTCCGAGCGGGCTAAATCTTTCAGTGCCAAGTCGTCGCCGGTGAAGAAGAAGGATGCGGTGAAGGTGCCGCCGTTGAGCGGGGAAGAGCGGTGGGTCGACGGGCCTCGGATATCTAAGTCCAAGGTACGTGCAAGTTTTAGTTCATCCATAATTTTAAGCAGTTTAAAGGGACATGTATACTCATAGTTGCCCCTTAAAAGTCTGAATGGATTTAGTTGTGATTAAAGGAGATTTAAGGATGCTTTTCACGTAGCATCGTAAGAAGGATTATTTTTCTAAGCTTTGAGTAAAATTCGATACAGCACAGGTAATTTTAGGAATCATTTTTGTAAAATATTGAAATAATTTGCCACTAGAAAAATTCGAAAATTCAGAAGTGATGCAGAGAGATTTTAATGATTAATTGCCTGTTTTTTCAACTGAATTTTTTATTCTATAGGGTTATTCAAAAGTCACACACCACTGGCCGTGAGGAGGGTAGCCATGCATTTGAAATTTTTGAGTTTAACCCCATATGAATAAACTTATGATTCTAAAATTTTCTATGGAAAGAATTCTGACAAAATCACCCATTAAATTCTTCTCCAAGGGATTAATTAGCAATAGAGATTCTGAAACACTGCAATCGAGAAGTGCCTTTTCGCATCCAGTGCTTCAATTGACAGGAAAAAAACTCCATGAATACATTCATTGTCAAAGCGTTGTTTGTTGAAGGTGGTGGAGGCGCGGAATCTGCATCTATTGACTAAAGGCGGTCGGGCGCTGAGCGGGCGGGAGATGTGGGTGGACGGACCGCTGAAGCCGGGACTAGCGGCGGGCCTGGAGCCGCCCGGGAGTGCCGGGGTCCTGGCGCAGGGCTACGGGTTCATGGACAGCCACAAGAAGTCCATGATCCGGCAGTGGGTCGAGAACCAGACGCAGCACATCCAGTCGCGGGCCCACACCAAGGGCCCCTTCAAGGAACTCACCGTCTTCAAGACCTGCGAGGACGACGACGATGACGGCCCCGACGACATCCTCAACATCGAGCGGGGTCAGAGAGGCCGGGCCTCGGGACAGGAAGACGAAGGGGAGGAGGTCCAGGCCCTCGTCCCGCAGGAATCACCAGTCACCGTCTCAGACAGCAAAGGTTCGCCCTAAAACTTCTTATACTCAGCAATGAGTAAGGTTCATAGACCCAAGTCAGTCCGTTAAGAAGGTGGTGTGATAGAATCTTTGTAATACGGCGGCGAGGGCTATCCGCGTTGCCTATAGATTCCCCCGCCCCGTCTAGCTTGTCCCACTTAGAGTCCCTTTAAACTGAGAGTTAAGACAACCCCCCTCATGGAGTCACAAACGGGAATAAATATTACACAAATTGAGAGTTCTCGTAATCTTTGATCGGCCCAGTCTCAAATTCCTTTCTCCATTCCTTTTCTCATTCCGTACCCTCCGGTACCCTCCATTTACCATTTATTTTGTCTTTCTTGTCTACAGCTTGTCTATGAATTTCAATAATCAGCCCTGTGGCAGAAAAATGAACCAAGCCACTCGAAAATTGCACCAAAAATTGCATTCATAGAACCTACTATTATCGGCTTGTTCATAAAAAACACTTTTCTGTGAAGGGAAACTAATTGCACGTAAGTCGTTTATAAAATGAGCCTAATAATAGGAGTCTTTGACCAAAATTTCAAAAACCAAATTATCGATTCAACTCGAAACAAATCGTTCTCTTAAAAGAATTTACTTCCTCCGACCAGGGGCCTTCCTTTCATAGAGGGTCACATACATACATTATAACGTACTTCCGTTCGTTTTTACAGTTGTCCAAATTCCGCAACTGCAAGCGAACGTGGAGGAGGACGTTGACGGCGAGAAACCGGAGCCGATACAAACTGACGTTGAGCCTGAATTGACGGTGGAGCCCATCGATGACATGGAAATTGAAGTCGTTGACTGCACCGAGATAGAGGAGTCAGTTCCGATGCAAGATTGTTGTTTGCAGGTAAGAATGCGCATTCATCAAATCGCTGTTGGAATGAGTAATACAGAAGGAGAAAATACCTATTTTAGGCTAATTGGACGTATTTCTGCCAAACGGAACCATGTGCATTACGATATGAGCCCTGAGACCCATAAGAATAAATGCATAACAAGGCTCACATCATAATGCGTATAGTTCCGTTTGATAGAAATACGTCCAATTTAAGAAACAGTAGATCTAACATTGACTTTTTTCTGAAACTTCTGCTTCAATATTCTACCTCTTCTTTTCCTCCCCCTACTACTTCTTTATCTCTTCTTTCTCTTTTTCTTCGTTCATCGTCCAGTGTCTAATGTTTTTTTTTATCTAACATACACATATCTTCGCTCTATGACGTAAGGGCGTGTCCATAGGTGGATCCCGGCGGTCGGGGGGTGCAGGGGGCATACGTCCCCCTTTGCCGAGAAAAAAAAGAAAAAGAAAGGGAAGAAAGCAAGAAGAAGCAAGGGCGCTTCTATTTGATAAAATTCATGAAGAAATTGACTCAAACTGCGAATTAGATGCTTTAAAATTTCAAAAATTTTCTGATGGACGCCCCCCGGATCCCTCCCCTCATCCACCCCGGTTCGCCGTGTCTGGATCCGCATTTGGGCGTATCTTAATTTCCATGTGAGCCCTGTTCCCCGTATATGTATATGCTTTCCATGGCTCATGTGGAAAAATAGATACACTCTCGCATTAGAAGAGCGATGATATGTTAAACATTTCGGCACTGCACATTTAAGTACGAAGTACGTGTGTGTACGTTTTCTTTTTCAAAACACTCCTCATTGAGTCGATTCTCTTGTTTTGCCTCATCCAATTCTTAACACTTCAGTGCTTTTGGTTGGACTAGAGCTATTAATGAATAACCGAGTAGGCCCCCATGTAAATCTTGGCAACATTTCAAATGCAATTAAACCCTTCTGGCTCTGACCCGTTCAGTTCACTTATCACAGTCGCAACCCCGTCCTCACGATCTGGAAACTGCGCCTCGGGTGAAGATTTATACCGAGCCCATTATTCGGCCGTATGATAAAAGATCTCGATTTAACGCTTGACACAACGGCTTCCAAGCGCCTGGCAACGATAAATCCGCCGAGCCGCCACGCAATGCCTATTGCCTATCGATCCAGGCGTTCGAGCTCCTTGCAGCCCGTGTCCCTGTCCCTGTCGCGTGCAGTTTGTTTGACTTACGGGTGCGTGGCGACAGCTCTGCATCATCGTGCACCTGAGTTCCTTCTAAAGAGCGTCGCACGGTGGATCAAGTGAGTGGGAGAGGTCGGACACAATTTGGAAACTTTAAACACTTAAAACTCCGTTTATACAAAACTTTGAGGTTCTAAAAGTTGTTCCATTGGTCTCCTCGTGGAATTTTCTTCCAAGAACACCCCTTAAAATTTAAATTGTGATGGAATAAACATCAAAACTTGCAGTTTTAGTAAAAAATTTCATGTCCGACCTCTCTGATTGTCTCGATCCACTGTGCGTCGGCGGGAGAAAAACGTCCCGTGCCTCCTGGAGAGCATCTTGCCTCCAGCTTTTCCTCATACATATGAAATGAAGAAAAATATTTGCTTTGTTGGATACGTGTCTGATTTGGACAGGATTTGGTCACATCGCGATCTGCCCGGGCAAATCCCGGAGTCTATACGTTCATTTCAGAATTGGCCAAAATAATTTGTGCCCGAGCACATCATAGCAATCAGCCCGAGCGGATCACAATGTGCCCAGGTTTCGACTTTTGACCGTAATAGATGACACGAACGATCGATCGACATAATGGTTATTGATATTAGGTAGGGGTGAGGTTCATAGTCATACAGCATGAGAAAAATGATAAAAGAAAGCTATAGCAGCGGACAAGTTATAAATCACAATCTCTCCTTCATTTCACCTGGGCACATTGAGATTTGCTCGGGCTGAGCTCTATGATGTGCCTGGGCACAATTTTGGGCCAATTTTGAAATGAACATTCGCCTTCATTTCACTGAGTAGGTACGCATAACGTTCGCCCACGTGTTGAAATAGCGGTATTACTCAAGCCGTCTTCCAAAGATTCATTCTTCGTTTTCTTAATAGGTATGCGGTATGCGCTGCATTTTCCAGTTCTCTTATTGGCCAGCGGCATAATTCAGATCGTTTATCGATGGATGAAGTTGAATCTCAATTACAACGTGGCAAAGTCCTCAATCATGTTTTATTTCTTGATTGACAAACTAAATAAAGTATTTCCTTGAATTTTTTAAAATTGATTTTTAGTTGAGTGAAGCAAATTCAGAGGCTGTAGAAAAGAACACTTAATTGATAATGTACAACATTGAAATCGGGGAAACGTAATTCTCGGCTTTGACCATCTGTATCTAGATATATTATTACACTATTATGAACTATTCCAGGTAACAGAGGAGGACATAGCTAAATGTATGGGTGAGGTAGAGAACCCACTACCGGAAGTAGACCAAGACGAACATCCGCTCAGGATCCTCAGCCAAGAAAATCTCACCATCATATCATCATTCACCGGTAATGATTGCTCTGACACGGATTTATAATAACTGAACTTTTACAGATTCGTGGTTCTTGTCTCTTGAAAAAAATTGCAATCGTTCCATAAAATGTGAAAGTCATTATATTTTAAATGTTCGTCGATGTTACTTATTTTTTTACGTGAAAATCAATCAAAGAAGGAACTTGAAAATGCAATATGATTCATTCACATTTCTGAATTTCTGCATAATTGTATCAATGTTTTAGCTGTCCACTCAGAAAAAGTCGACGCTTTTTTAAACTACCCTAAAATCATCGAATTTTAGAAAACGACTTTATTTTTTTCGTGATTTTCTTCTTCTTTTTTTTCTGGTAAAGTCCATTCAAAAAAGATGGAGAAAAATTGTATCTTCTGTGACTAAATTCAGAAGCCCACTAAACAATTGAGGGACAGTGATTTGAGACATGTATGGGAGTTGTCGATGTATGTGTAGATAGTTGTACGCTAATGCAGCCACGGAATAGTGGGTAAGCGGTATTGCCTTCATCACAAAATGAAGGAGTTTCTTCGACCCAAGTTATATGAAGAAACGATATGTAGCGTTGAGCTCACAAGCTTGAATACGATCATTTAAACCTCCGAATTAAGGTTATCATCGCTCTACGCTGCATTAATTTATGAATTTAATTAAATATTTAACCAGCGAAAAATGTTCTCTTGCATTAAACATTAAGAGAGAAGTAATATTTTCTTATAGAGAATACGCCTTCAGCTACAACAAGGTAGATCTTTCTCGATATTTTACCGTGTCGTGGATAATTTGTAGAAGAAGAAAAATTACTTTCTTCGATTTAATTACGAAACAATTTTTTTTTACACCTGAATTATCATGTGTATTTATTTATCATTGTACACTCTTATTTGCAAGTATATATTCACCCAATCTTTCAGATCCTCAAATTAATTCAATGGACGTTGATCGCCTGTTTCCACCATCGGGACCATTCCTTTACAAAAATATCGCTAATAATCCAAGACCTATCAAACCTCTAAATTCCAGTAAGTAAAATAAGATTTCCATACCTATATATTGCTTAGCTTACTCAAGAAATGATTATCGCAAAAAACTCGAGTTGGGTCGTTTTTGAACTGAGGGATTCAATATGTAATATTTGTATTTAGCATTAAGAACGGTCCTTTGGACCCGCACCGCAACGTTTTCTCATTTTTTTCTTGGCGCCAATTTTTATTTTTTATTTTTATTATTTTTTTTTTAACAGATTTTCCTTTATTCCCTCGTCAGTTTATAATTAAGTCAGTGAGATACCCTCTTGCCGTCCAACCTTATCCCTCCCAATGTTTGGCAAAATGTGTTTCAAAGCGCGTTTAAGAAGCGTTAAAATTTAAACATTTTCGGAAAGGCTCCCATGGTTCCTGTTCTCCGACTCATTGAGAAAATTCACCATGAAGCATTCTTTCCTCTTTTTGATGGCACTTATTCAGGGGAGCCCGCGCCGTGGAATGCGCTGAGGAGTCCCAAAATCCTAAATCGGGATCCTGATTTGCATCGTTTCTCCCCTATCTGCATCTGAATTTCGATGGTTAAATTCTGAAACCGCATCGTAACCGTAGTTGCAAACCTCTGCAACTTCCGTGACATATTTTAAGTTTTTGATGAATGACGGATCATCGTTATTGACCACAATCCAATGTGTTTTTTCTTTGCTCTTTAAAGAATGCCTGTGCATAATACTAATATCCAGTGATACTATCTTAAAAACATACAGTATATTAGGAAATTTTAAAACACCGCAAAAGAGAAATTTATCTCAGTTGTATCAGCACCGTTGATTATCAACTTGCTTTCAAAAAGTTATTCAGGAGGTTAAGTTTCCTAATTCCCCTAAACCCCCATCGTACGATATTTCTCTCCCATTGCAGACGAGAATAAATTTGAGCAGCTATCGAGGTTGCACGAACTCTACCGAAGTAAGATGGGGCTCATGCTGGATTCGTCAAAGAAGCTCCTGAACGGTGGCGTGATGCGATGTCAGTCTATGTCTTTGTCAGAAAATCTTCACAACGAGGCGGACAATCACAGCCTTATCGAGACGGACTTCGACAACAGTAGCATCGTCAGTGAGCCGGCCTACTTGCCTGTAAGTGTCTTTTGAAGTGTATGGGGGATATCTAGGACGAAATTCGTAGCTCTGAGTAAATTATTGAGACGCATTTATGCTAAAAGGGACGAGGTACGGGTGGGAAAGAAAGAGTGTGCTCGTTAGTTGAGGGCCGCAAGAATGAATGGGAATTATGAAACGCCCGTGACGTGAGATTTGATGTCGACGACCCATCCACTCTTAACTCATGAGCCTTGTTATGTTCACGTAACGCTCTTATCGAAGCTTGCACGAACAGTCGAGCACACCTCATCTTTCTCACACGTCTTTAGTTCCTTTTAGTATAGTTTTCATTTGTTTAATGGGTTTATGTCACGAGAGACAAAGCCAACTCAGTGCATATTTTCATGAATGAAATTGCACAAAAAATCATTTTGAGCACGTCAGAAATGTATAAAATTCACTCTTTAACGCACATATTGTGTTGGTTGTAGGTATCGTGTATTTTTCAAATTTTACAGCCAAGACGGGCAGTATTTCCCAGCTGTCGGCAATTATAGGTTCGCTTAGAGAGAGACGTAAGAATAACCAATTTAAATAGTCAAACGATCCTCCAATTATTATACATCTAGCTTACGAGTGATTTCGATTGGTTCTAAAATTTTGTTTCTGCAAAAAAAAAAGAAAAAAAAGAAGAAAAATAACGAAGAAACATACAATTGCAATCATGTGTAAGAAACTTTTTGCGCGAGATATTTTGTTCACTCAAGTTACGTTCTCTGCGTCTCCTTTCAATATTATTGCATTTATTTCTTGTAATTTTAATTTAATCAAACTTTATGCGTAAATTTCTTATAGCATCTCATACGCTCTGACATTATTTCAGTGTAATACTCATTCATTTTGTTTTCGTTAGAGTGATTTGAAAATGTTTAACACCACTGTTTTCTCGTACCAGGGTGATGCAAGTAAGACGGAGAGAATATGTGACAACTGCAGGGTCTCCTTATGCGGATTTCGGGATGAAAATGGTTTATGGCCACCAACAAGGTTCCAAAGCTTCAGACCCCTGTAAGATTATATTATTGATTTGTTTTCTCCCTCTCTATAGTTGCAGTCAATGCGTGTTTTGGAAACATATTTGTCACTCAATTCCAGTAACAGTGCTAAGAATTGCTTCATTTATAGAGTTGAATATTTATTGTGGAAGTTATGTATCGCGAAACGTGTTTAAAGCGCCTTCAAATTCAGGAAGTAGGCAATCCCGATGGCAGCGTGCTTCTCGCATTCGCGGTGTGAAGCCATCACTTGCAGATTTTTGCTTTTAAAATTCCAACGCGAGATTTTCCTTCATCACAACGTAATTTTACATGAACTCTAATTAATTTTTTGAAATATCTTAACTTTCTTGTTGTTTTTTCCCAACTATGAATTAAGGGTACGTATTATGTTTTAAAAAATATTAGAGCATCCCTGAAATCATATATAGCAACTTACCATCACTAAATATTAGTCGATTGAGGCAAAAGCATATTCAGCAAAATGGAAGTGATCAACAAGAAGTAAAATAAGAGGGGGAAAAGGGGGAGTATTTCAGTGTTATTGAAAAATTTTTCAATATAATATGATGAACCCCCACCGTTCTTCATAGACATGGAATTCTCTCAGTAAAACTTTTAGGTTTGTTAATCAGAACTAAGGCAATTCTTTCGAGATTTTCTCAAGTTTCTTTTTTCCGTTTCAAAGTAGTCTTTCCTCGCTGCGACACCCAGACGGAGCTTCTAATCCAAATCTTCGTGCAGAATTCGAGAAAAGAGAGGAAAAAGAAGAAAGGGAGCCAGCAGAAGGCGCGAAGGAAGTCGACGATGATGACGAAGAAGAAGAAATGGCAGTGCCTCCTCCCCTCCCCAATCTCCTGACGCTAAGTAGAGAAAGGTGAGCAAAATACGACACTATGATCATGTTCTTGTGAAGAGCTAAGTGATTCAACTTTGAGTTCTCTCTTTTTAAAATTCTATTCATGGTAGCTTCTGAGTTGCATTTAAAAATTTAAAAAAAAATCAAAATTTAAATTAACTAATTAATTAATTTTTATTTTTATTTAATTTTTAATTTATTTTTTTTTAAATTTAAAATTTAAATTTTTTTAGTCTTGAAATGGAGAAATATATTACTCATCAATTGCTAATTTGTCTTCCCTCTATAATTTTTTTGCGCAATTTATCAAAACAAAATTATCTGACTACGTAACAAGAATTTTGTGTATTATTTCCGCCTAATTCCAGCTCCTGCCATGTTTAAAACTAACTCACTAGAATTCTCCGCTTACAGTCCCTTGACTGAGATTTGTAAGAGGGAAGGATATTTTTACCTCATAATGTTAAATTTACACGTTTGTTACAGTTTCGAATGTCTTCGACCGAAACACATCTGTGATAATTTCAATCGACACATGAGCAATTCTTGCTCTAAGGAACAGGTCCACGATCCCGGAGGACCAGGTAATTCTACTTTTGCTTCAACTTTAATATCACAAATGGAATTATATCTTACGAAATTCTGCACGGAGGAAAAAACTTCGTGCGTGGGACCCGAAGTTGAGGTCATGTGGATCTCTGAAGTTTTCGGATCACGTATCTAAAACTTGAGGTCCAGCTGCCGAAGTTCGGGTCAGATATCTGAAGTACTCCGGTACTTACCGAAGGGTCCGGTTCACCCGTCTGAAGTACTTCGGTGTATACTGAAGTGCTTCAGATGTTTGGCTAACTTCGACATCCGGACCTCAAGTTTTCGGACGCGCGATCTGAAAACTTCAGAGATCCATACGACCTCAACTTCGGGTCCCACGCACGAAGTATTTTTCTCCTTGAACCATCGCACTATTCCTCGGGCAGAAACGAGTAATATACGATTAAGGCAATCTTGCAATAAGTAACCTGAAGATCGGATACTATGTCAAGATTTTTCAGCGCTATATATTCAGACCATGCAATACCTCAGATCTGCCGTTTTGCACAGAAATAATGACGTGCAAACATTCTGAAGTATCTCGTTTCTGAGAAAAAACCAATTGAATGTGAGAACTCACCAGCCTATTCGTCTCGAACAGTAGCGTGGCGTGAATTGCGATATATTGATTGTTATGTAATTTAAACCTATGGTAAAGAATCGATTATTAAGGTGTTCTCTGCGAACACCCTGATTATCGATCCTTTTCCAAAAGTTTAAATGGCATAACAATCGATATATCGCAATTCACGCCACGCCACTGGTCTCGAAAATGTCAATCTCTGGAAACAAAGGAAACTGAATGGCATTAAAACTACTTGTACAAAATCAACCTGACTAAAACTAACTGCAAACTTTCTACGAAGTTTCTGTAGAGTGTTAATAAATACTTTTTCTAAATTTCAAAGCATAATGTTTTCCTTTTTTCCGTTATTAAACAACAAAATGTTTACGGAAATCAAGCCGCAATAATAATTGAGAACAATGGTTCAGTAATAATGTATAACGGAGGCAGGATGATTGATACACTGGAAAAAAAAGTAGCTTGGATCAAGCATGGTGATTCTTGAATTTGCCGCCAAGAATTTTTTTTATCCTGCTTTAAGCTGACTTTTTCTTGATACAAGACAAATAAGGCTTGGGTTAAGCAAAAAAGTAGCTTATTTTAACCAGAAAAATTCTTGATTTAAGAAGAGATACTTCTTGGCGGCAAATTTAAGATTCTTTTTTTTCCAGTGTACTGGCCAATAGCATTGAATGTCAATTACTCCAATAATACTCGTATATAATCTTCTATCGAAGGAAAGTGTGGAATTTGAAAAGAGCGTGTTATCAACTTCGCAGATTATAACTTGGACGTATTTCTACCAAACAGACCTATGTGGAGGTGAGAAATATGGGGTGTGCTCGTCGGCGCTGCATAAGAAGCAATGTAAAAGTGGACGTGATTCCTTTTGTAGAATTGGAAAAGCGGGATATTACATTCTAACAAAGAGACCTATGTGTCAACTAATGCGGAACTCATGAGCCGCGGGCATGGCAAGAGAGCCTTGTGGACAGGGCTCATGAGTTAAGGGCTCACACTAGCGATCTCCCCGTCGTGCCGGCGCTCGTGCGTTGTCGCTGACGTCACTGGCGCTTTACTATTATCATTCACTCTTACGCAAAAAGAACTAACGAGCACACCCCATATTCCTCACTTGCACATAGGTCTGTTTGGTAGAAATACGTCCACTTAAGAGTGGATTTCAGAATTTGTCGACGTGATCTTGTACGATTTTCCCTGTTGAAAGTTTATTATTTCGGCTGTAACTCTTGCATGGTATAGACCTATTACAGCAGCTAAACTTAGAGAATGTGTTTTTCGTGCTTCAGTGTTGCACTACTGTCGGGAAGATGTGCAGAGACTGGAGCGAGGCTGGAACGAGGCCCGGAGGAGCGGGCGTCTCCGGGAGCTGAAACGGGAGCAGCGGCAGCTCATGGCAGAGCTCGCCGCCGCCAAATGCCGCATCCTCTTCGCCAACCCCGCTTGGAGCAAGGAACTCAGGTCAGCAGCATCCACCAACCTTAAAAACTCTCCTAAAAACTGATAGGCAGGGCCGAATGGAGATGTTGCATGTGTGAGGGATTTGCGATTTGACAATTGATTCGTATGTAAAAGTTCGCGAGAAACACGATGGTGCCACTGGTTTTCTCTGAAATCGTCTCCCAAGCTCAAAAAAAGCTCTCAAAGTGAGGCCAAAATAGAGGGGACATCCCACCCTACCCTGAGAGTCCACCTCTTTATCAAAACAATCTCTCCATGCAAAGATAGGGAGCAAATACATTGACAGGGCTGCCACTTCATTTGGGGACTCCAAAACTGAAAACACGGCAACTCTGCTAATGTATTTGCTCCCTATCTTTGCATGGAGAGTTTGTTTTGATGTAGAGGTGGACTCTCAGAGTAGGGTGCGATATCCCCTCCATTTTGGCTTCACTTTGAGAGCTTTTTTTGAGCTTGGGAGATGATTTCAGAGAGAACCAGTGGCACCATCGTGTTTTTCGCGAACTTTTACACAAGAATGAATTGTCAAATCGCAAATCCCTCACACATGCAACATCTTCATTAAGGGGGTGGCCACATGGCTCGCGGCCCATGGCGGCAAATTTTGCAATTTTTTTAATGTAGGTATAAAAAGAAAATCGGATTCCGAAAAAAAATTACAAACGAGAAAAGGCGACAAAATATCTCATTTCCTGCTGAGAGTATAGTAATTTCTAATTTTGTCGTCTTTCGGTGATACAATAGACAGCACCTTTAATTAGTCGAGTAAAGAGAGAAACCAAACACGCAACTTGGCATGGAGTGGCGGGGCGCAGAGAGCAATGATGACGAGGACTTGCGATGAAAAGGAGAAGCCCTCAGCGCGGCGGTCGGCTTGTAACACATATTAGCACCTACAAGACCGCATGAATACTTCACGCATTACGTTAAACACAGTAAGTACGGTCAGCAGCGGTCGACGTGAAACGCATAGCGCCTACAAGGATGCATGGATACTTTACGCATTGCGTCAAAAACAGTGTGGTCAGCGTAAAACGCATAGCGCCTACAAGACTGTAGGAATACTTCACGCATTGCACTAAACACAACGCGGTCAGCGCGGCGCGGCGGTGGAAGTTAAATTTCTTAAACCACATTTATGTTTGTTCTTGCATAGTTTTTACGTTCATTTGTTACAAATGGAAGGTCTTGTTCACTCAGAGATAGGCTTACGGAACTTAACTTCTGCTAGTAGTGTTGACAGGGCTTTCGCAAAAAATGTGTCCAACACGAGTAAACGCGTCTTATGCACCCCTCCCCTTCCGGCACGTTCACTTAATGGTAATATTGATGTTTCAAAACGAATGAGAAGGGGGCAGCAAAATACAGGCGGCCCATGGGCGTCAAGTAGGTAAATCCGGCCCTGCTGATAGGTATACCGGAAAACAATGAAGGGCATTTCTGTCTTCAGCGACTAACCTTCAGAGTAATTTACACCATTAGATATCGTAATACAAAATGTCGCCACCTTTTTTGGCCAGCAAGAATAGTAGAATTTTCGCGAGCGGATTTGGTCAAGTTGTTTGACTTATTGCCAATCTCCGGCAAGTAAAAGTTATAAAACTATTTTTCGGAAAAATTCGGACTTCTTCGCGTAAAACTGAAGAATGTAGAAAAATAGTGGTTGTATTTGGAATCGACAAAAGTCCATCCAAAAGCAGTTGTAAAATTTTTCGCAGATCTGTAATGTATTTGGTGACCTATGTAAAAACACAGATAGAATAGTTACATAGATAAAAGGTGATCCGCTTTTATAATTGGTCACATACTTCTCACTGATCATCAGCTCATCCATGGCTGTTTTATTTTTTTTCCAGTGGCATCTAATATCCAGCTGAAGAATCCAAGTTCTTTCACATTCCAGGATTTCAAAAGGAATTCTAGACTTCTCCCAGGCTGAAATCCCGGTCTGCCTGCCGTGTCTCAGCCGGCGTGACATATTTTTTAGCAAATTAATTAATTTTTTGTTACATGTTACACGTAAAACACCCACTTCCATCACACAAAAATCATTTGACTGATGGTAGAATTGTTTATTTTGGTACTTGTAATATTGTTCACTTGTGTCATGTAATTTGATGTACTTACTTGGTAATGTCAAATATGAACAATTACTTTATCATATCCTTAGCAGTATCTGTAGTTCTTTTACTCTTTGTGTATTTTTGATAAATTAAAATACATTGTTTTGACTATTATCGTGTTATTAATTTTTGCTGTCAGCATGCTCTTCCTCAAGATAAACAATATAAATTTGAGGTACGCGCTCGAATTTTTTCTGAAGGGACCATGAAACGACCTTGCCACATTCGTCGTTCTTAGATCAGAGAAAGTAGGAGCCGCAACATTTAAGAAGGCAACGCTGTCATACAATATTTAAACAATCAAAGCATTATTTGGAAAATTTGGCAATGTTCCAATAAAAATCAGTGATAGCTTACTTCATCGACACAATAGACTACGCTGGAATCAAGTCACAGTGTGACTAGAACAAGCAAAGCACCTCTAGCCGGTGCCTCATGCGACGAACACCAGCCATATTTCATTTCAACTCCTAGATACAACTATTTGAACTCTGCGGATGTCTGCGTTGCATACGCACTGGAGTGAAGGCGTTTTGACTGACCAGGCACTCAACGCCTCACTTGCGTCGCGGCGCGCGGCGTCAACAACGGCGGGCTTTAAGGCCTAGATACACGCGGCAATTAATCGCCGCGAGTGAGAGACGGAAGCCAATGGATAGCCTTGATTTCGATTCATCGACGTCGATAAATCGAAATCAAGGCTCTCCATTGGCTTTCGTCTTTCACTCGCGAGGATTAATCGCCTCGTGTATCTAGGCCTTTACACTGCGAGAATCTAAAACGGCAGAGCGCTTTCAATTCCTCGTTTAAATTACAAATATGTCTCCCAGACAAAAAAATTCCTTACAGGCCTATGATACGAGTGTCTTTCGTGCTTCAGTTTTGATATCGCAATGTGCTGAGCATGATTTGTAGATGTAGAGCAACCATTTATAACCAAGAGGTGTCTTCACCTCTTCAGGGTCAGAAAGAATTTAGGAACTGTGTTATTTTAGATCCTTGCAGTAAATACGTCCGCTCAATGAAACGATCCCTTCAGAGAGGTTTGACATGAAATTTTCAACTAGAACTGCAAATTTTGATGTTAATTTCTTCACACCATAAATTTATGGGTTGCCTTTTAAAGAAAATTTTACGAGAAAATCAATGAGCTACTTTTAAAACCTCCACGTTTCTTTTTAACATCGAAATGAGCCTTTGATGTTTCCATAATCCGTCCGACCCCTCTCATTGACTCGCTCTACCGAGCGCTACTGATGAAGCGGAGAGTGCTTGGGCAGACAAAACGCCTTCACTCCCGTATGTATGCAACATGGACATCCGTAGAGCCCGAATAGTTGCATCCGGGCCAGGGCCGGATTTAGAGGGTGGCCACATGGGCCGCGGCCCATGGCGGCAATTTTTTTTAAATGTAGGTATATAAAAAAAATCGGATTCAGAAAAACAATTGGACTGCATTTTGCAATTTGGACCTATAAATTCTATGGCTCATCTGGAAAAACACTTATGTGCATAGGGAAACTGATGGCACATACGTTGTTTTCAAACCGGGCCGGAATTTATAGGTCCAAATTGCAAAACGCAGTCCAATTACAAACGAGAAAATGCGACAAAATCTCTCATTTCCTAAGAGCACAGTAATTTCTAATTTTGTCGTTTTTTGGTATCGGTGAGACAGAGAGACAAAGAGACAGCACCTCTAGTCGAGTTGAGAGAGAAACCAAACACACAATTCGTCATGGAGCAATAATGACGAGGACTTGAGATGTAAAGGAGCAGCCTTCGGTGCGGCGGTTGGCATGTAACACATATTAGCGCCTACAAGACTGAATGAATACTTCACGCATTGCGTCAAATACAGTGCGGTTAGAAGCGATCGGCGTGAAACGCTTAGAGCCTACAAGACTGCATGAATACTTCACGCATTGCGCCAAACACAGTGCGGTCAGCGCGGCGCGGCGGCGGAAGTTAAAATTATGAAACCACGTTTATGTTTGTTCTTTCATACTTTTTTCGTTCATTTCTTTCAAGTGGAAGGCCTTCGTAGCTTCGTCACAAAGAAAATCACGCGGCACAAGCTAGGAACGCGCGGGAGGACAAAAACTGTCATTTTAAACTTGACTGCATCTTTTTGGATCGAATTTGCTCTAAGCCAGTAGAGAGCGTTTAAACCGTTCCCTCAGAGACGAGTCTGTGACTTAGTTTTAGGTATATCCTGTAGATGGCGCTACCAAAAGGTCAAGATTTCTGTCTTTGCCTCGGCGTGAACGCAGCAGAATATTGCTCAATGTTCATGAAATGCTTCATGCGACAAATTGATCGGTAAGTGCTGAATCCTATAAAGGGTATTTTCTTCTTTGGTAAATTTTCCGTGAGGAAAATCATGCTCTTCTTCAATGACAATAGTGCGACTTTGCTACTAATCCTACTAACTTTTGAATTTTTTTAAATAAAACAACGAAACTTTGGGGATGTTTCGAGGTTCAGAGACGAATTTTCGCGTGGATTTAGTTGAAGTTTGTGACTTACTACCAGCCTTCGTTAAATAAAAACTAAACTCCCTTTGGGCAAAGGTGCGCCTGCAACATTTGGTTTTCATAATGACAGCAATGATGACCAAATTTATAACTTTCGACCTACCTCCCGAGGTGGGTTGGAAAGTGGATGGATGCAAACGTTGACCAAAATTCTTAAAATCAACTGAGTTTGGTTCTTATTTTTAGATGAGCGTTTTTCTCCTTTGGTTTGCAACCTTGCTAATCAGGTTGAAAAAGTCAACCAGATCTGCTGGCGAAAATTTGCCTAAGGGAAATCACGTTGGGGGGGGGGGGTGTCAAAATTTTGGCACAATAAACATGATAACCAACAAACCAACCAACCAGCCGACCAGCCGACCAAACATCCATTCACACACACCCTCAGAAACTGCAGCTGGTGCATTAAATACTGCGTTGTAACGACTGTGCCATAAAGGTTTTTAGGAAGAATACAAAAAACTGGCCAGAGAGAGTAGCGATGCACGTATTGCACGTAGAAATTGGCTAGAGACATTCGTGGGTGTCATGAGTACAATTGGAATGCATTCTTGCGGCGGGCATTGCATGCATTTTATGTCTCAAGGTCGGTCACGCAGGAGACACGCGCCACGTTTTGTCGTAACCGGAATATTCGTATTTTTTCATCGTGCTGGGGGGTTTTTCTCTGCCAGCGCGGCATTGGCACCCTGCGCTAACACCGATCAAGGTTGCCAGAGTAAATGTAGGTGTAAACGCGGGAAAGTGACCATTGTCAAAGGCAGAATTTTCCGTGAAGCTATTTTCGTCGAAAATGCAAAAGTTCGAAAAATCGGATTTTAATACCTCGACGGAAATCTCCCTGGGGGGGGGGGGGTAGTAGGAATTCGATAGAGAAAAAATAAAAATGTAAAACGATCGGCAACCGTGAATTGATCGAAAAACCCGTGAATCGACCGACAGATGTGTGTATCGATCGACAACTCCGTCAATCGATCGATTTTGTCGGTCGGTTCCTGTTTTTATTTTTCCATCAGTTTTTTAATAATTTGTTGAGTAAATCGATGTCAATTGGTTCACGTCGATCAATTCACGTACCTATTTATTATTCGATCGATTCATGTCGATCGAATCCATACCCTTCATCCTGCCCCTGGTATTCCATGAGAAAGTTGCGAAAGATTTAGTTTATTGTTTGTGCCACTACCTGAATGACAAGAGGTTGCTTTATAATCTCGCATTTTCAGCCTCTAAACATTGTAAAACAGTATATTAAATGGTTTCCTCTCAAAACCAGTTTTTTTCTTCTTTTTTTTAAAGACAAATTTCGAACTTGAAACCGCCATAACTCCGATTTGATTATATATATTTTCAGGCATGCTCATCCAAAAATCTATGAAGAAACTCATCTGCTCTCTGGTATCACCGTTCAAATGTTGGGTTTTATGGAGTGAAGCTCTTCTTCTCGTAGACGGTTGTAATGGGCCTGTTGCAAACTTTTGCTAGAGCAAAACTAAGAGTTGTTTCATATAGATAATGCCTCAAAAATCACGATGAGCGCATCGGCAAACTCTGAAATGCACTCATAACTTCACAATCTGCGTAAGAAATTTGCGGTTTTTTGAGCTTCCCGCTTCAAAAACGATACTACGGCACAGGTGAACATTTTGTAAGAGGAGTCGTTCCATCGTCGGCAATAATCATCATAGCCGACGCCAATCCGCCAAAACACGTTTGATGGGACGAGATAACACCTGAACTGGATTAAACCAGATAACAATCGGTGTGTTAACGTTCATATTTTCCACGCCCGAATTGATTGACCTTGAACTCTCCTTGAATTACGCGCGGAACTGCGTGCAAGCGTCGGCCATGATGAATATCGCCGACGATGGAGCGACTCCTCTAACAAAATGTTCACTTGTGCCGTAGTATCGTTTTTGAAGCGGGAAGCTTAAAAAAACGCAAATTTCTTACGCAGATTGTGAAGTTATGAGTGCATTTCAGACTTTGCCGATGCGCTCATCGTGATTTTTGAGGCATTATCTACAAGAAACAACTCTTATTTTTGCTCTAGCAAAAGTTTGCAACAGGCCCATTGATGAAATTTATATGTTTCACATTGATGTAAAGGAAAAACCTCTGAGTTTTATCATAGTCCGGCACTCACGCACTGACTCGATGTTGTGGACACGAGGCAAGAGAACGTAGAGAAGGAAAGGGAAAAAGAGTAATGACAGAAGAAGAAAAACTCACCAGAGGGGTATCGGAGAACAATTTTTTCATGCCCTATCAAGATCGAAGGCGGAGGACTAAAATGGAGCCAGATTTCTGCAAGGTTGCCGTGTGGCGCATACACAGAAAGATATCTTACTTTATAATTAAAATAAAAGCATAAGAATAATGCATAACGCCTGAGCAGATGGCTACCCTCTTTGCTCCGCAGCCACCGCTTTACTATCCATCTTCTTAGCAACCCAGATTGGTATAATTATTTAATGTTTTAATTTATCTTTTTCAAGATTTATTTTTTGTCTATTACTTAATTTTGCTTCATTTTCTTTTACTTTAAAAAAAATGTCTGTTTATTATTTCTTCCCA